GTCTGTGCGTGCTCCTCCCGAAATTTGTTTATAAAACATCACTTATATCGTGGTTTATGCATCAGGTCCCAGACTTCTCATTGGGCATGCCCAAAAATGGCCTTAGACCAGTGTTTCTCAACCCTGGTCCTGAGCGCCCCCCAACACTGCACATTTTGTATGTCTCCCTTATCTGACACCCATTTCAGGTCCTGGAGTTACTTTTAATGAGCTAATGAGTTGAATCAGGTGTGTTTGATTAGGGAGACACACAAAATGTGCAGTGCTGGGGGGCGCCCAGGACCAGGGTTGAGAAACACTGCCTTAGACCAATACTGATGTAGAAATATATAATTACCTGCAGGTGATTTTGTGCCAAAATCCCATAGGGTTTGCCTGGAAAATATAAGGAAAATGTTTTCTCTTCCATTTTAAAACTATAAGGACAGACTGTGGCCTATTTTCTGGCTGCTACCCACCAGTTAGGAACTACAAATATAATTGTAGTATTCATTTTTGTCTCTCTGCCTCTGTTCATTTTGTATTGATTGTCTTCTGGACAACTGTCTGATCAGCAGTCTTCCCCATGATTGTGTAGCCTAGTGAACCAAACTGAGAGGCCATTTTGAAGGCTCAGGAAACCTTTGCAGGTGTTTTGAGTTGATTAGCTGATTGGCATGTCACCATATTCTCATTTGTTGAGATAGTGAATTGGTGGGTTTTTGTTAAATGTGAGCCAAAATCATCACAATTAAAAGAACCAAAGACTTAAACTACTTCAGTCTGTGTGCATTGAATTTATTTAATACACGAGTTTCACAATTTGAGTTGAATTACTGAAATAAATGAACTTTTCCACGACATTCTAATTTATTGAGATGCACCTGTATAAACAATACTAAAATAAATTAATTGAAGTTGAAGTACTATATTTAAAATAAATATAAAGCTTTAAAAAAACCAGACAAATAAATCCCCAAAAAGCACATAAAAGAACCTAAAATTACTACAACTAAACTAAGCTAATTAATATTTAAACTAAAAAATATAACGAATAAAATATAATTCAAAATATTAATATATAGTATAATAGTATATAAATAATACAAAAAAATAAGTTGATGTCAAAGTACTAAACCTGGAAAATAAATTAAAACTAAATAGAAATATTTGCAAAACTAAGTACTAAACAACAAAAGCACATAAAATTACTAAAACTAAAATTAATATTTAAACTAAAAAATATAACAAATAAAATCTAATTCAAAATATTAATAAATACTACAATGATATAAAAAATTATATTAAAATATACTGAAAAATAAATTAAAGCTAAATAGAAATATTCAAAAACAAAGTACTAAACCTAACAAAAGCACATACTTAGTTTAGTAACCTAAGTTACTAAAACTTACACTAAAATTAAAAATGAAAACTAACATTTATAAAAAAATAAAAGATGATTCAAAATATTAACAAATAATACTACAATAGTACTGTATACAAATAATATAATACACTGTGCAGAACACCTTAGGCAATCAATTACCAAAACACTGGCAATCAACCGCAACAACCTGTTGTAACGGTGAGATTTACACAGGAAACATCCACACATTTGCAAATATATAGTCCTTAAATTTGTCATGTAAATCCATCAGCCTATTCAGGGCACTTTTCTTTAATTAGAGCATACTTTGTCCGACACAATTTGAAGTTGAACGGGCACACACAGTCTTAATTAAAACCTCATTGAAGATAGCCTTGAAATCAAGCGACTAAATGCCTTGCTTATTTAAACTCTGCCCGCCAAATATTTAAAGTGTGCTTTTAGCTTGACTACTACTGACATGAGCTTATCGCTTGGCTAGCTGGCACTTTTGTTTGGGCTTGAAGAAAAAAGGTTTGCATTGCCCTTTATCAAGGGCACTTTGCGAGAAGAAAGGGATGTTGTGCTAAGAGCCTGTCTGGAAATGACAGTTCTCTCGTATCGTCTGGCTTCACTAGCTGCACTCTCTCTCATAAAGAAGTCGTGCTAAAAGGCTGGCGTAACAACTTCATGTGAATTAGAGACCGGGTGATACAGACAGAAAGAAAATCAAAGAGAGCGACAGGATGCATACAATAAGACTCACATTAACCCAGAAAAACATTTACCAAAAAATTCATAGCTGAATAGATATTTGGCAGACGAGCTGTTTGCTTCGAACCCCATTGAACAGCGCTGATTTAAATCCATGAAAGCAATACTTTTAAATGAAAGATGAAAAAAAAGCTTCTACAGCACAAGTGTCAAGAAACAGAATTGCAGTTCCCCTCTGTTATTGGTCAGGCAGACAGATAGCTCCGCAACAAAACTCAAGCCATTGGTCAGTGGATCTATGTTACTGTCAGCTGTTCGGGAAGCTCAAACTAACAGATCAATGTTTGATAGTGGCACAAAACCCAATATGCTTAGTTTTCAGGAAAATTAACATGTAAATAGCTTATTTATGGTCAACTCTGCATATTAAACTCAAACCACACATCTCACCTTTAAATTAGGGTGACCTCAAAAGGCACAGAACAAGTGAGTGAAAGTGACGTGAGGCCAAGTATGGTTACCCATACTCGGAATTAATGCATTGCATTTAACCCATCATAAGCGCACACACACAGCAGTGAACACACACACAAGGAGCAGTGGGCAGCCATGTTTATGCTGCGGCACCCGGGGAGCAGTTGGGGGTTCGATGCATTGCTCAATGGCACCTCAGTCGTGGTATTGAAGGTGGAAGAGAGCGCTGTACATTCAATCCTCCCACCTACAACTCCTGCCGGACCTGAGACTCGAACTTGCAAACTTTGAGTTACGAGTCCGACTCTCTAACTATTAGGCCACGACTTCCCTCAATCCGACAACTGTGTTCTCATTAATGTGAATGAAGTTTGATTAGCCACCAGGTCCCTGTGCGACCATTCACTAAAATTAACTACAGCTTGGATCTTCCCAGAGCGCAGAGACTTTTGGCACTCGCGAGTTCCCCAAAAAGATCAGAAGGGACGATACAGGATCTGGCAGGCATCTAACCTGGGCAATAAGCCAAGAAGACAAGAGGCAGAGGAGGAAAACTGAGAAAACATGAAAATATTCCCAAGACTAGAGAAGGGAAAGTGTTGCATACATTGCAAAGAGAAGAGAAGAAAAAAAGACATTGAGAAGAGAAGAGAAGATAAACAAAACAACAAATAAACAAAACAAAAATTAACCATAACATAAAAAACATAACGTCAAGAGAATCTTAACAGACATAACATAAAATAGCACACAACAGAGGAAATAAATAAAATAGAATCATAACATAACATAACATAACATAACACATTTTCTTTTTTTGTGGCATCCCATGCAAATGTCTTCAGAGACAAATCACCAGAAACTAATTTCTTGCTTTTCTGACACCTTGAGTCCTTCTTTAAGTGGTGAACAAAGAAATGTATTCATCTGCCTTACTGTATTCATTGAATCCTTGAGCTTGTTTACATAGCCTTTTCAATGCTGCAGAGCACGGAAGCTTTAGTCTATAGATGTGTCAACATACTAACTCGAGAGCTGGTAAATACTTTACAGGACCAATTTGCCATGAAATCCCTGTTCCTCTGGGGGGATTTAATTAAAATTATTTGTCTGATTCTCTGTTGTGCCCTGCACTCAGTCTGTGCCCCCGTAGGGTAGAATAGGTAAATTGTCTGATAATTGCACCACAAGAGACCATGGCTGAACTATTAAAGATATGATATTAAAGCTAGCTTGCTTCCAAAACAACATGCCTGCATGTATTTTGGGAAGTGATGGAGGATAATTGTGCATAACCACCTAGGGGTGTCAACCAATGCAAAACCATGTATGGGTGTAGGAGAAATCTAACAACCTTCTCAGCCTGGTTCATTAACATCAAGAAGGTGACGTAACATCCTTAGTGTAGTCGCGACAGATTTGCTTAAAACCAGGTAAGTGGGTGCTAGCCATAATTATGTTTACCCCAGTGTTTGTTTGTTTGTTTTTTCGATTGACTGTCAGTGCTGGATTTTTGTCTTTGCACAGCAACCAAGACTATTGCCAAAAAAATGTTACACCCAAGTAATCAATGAATAGAATATAATGGTAGATTTGCTAAAATGTGTCCCAGTAGCTCATATGACAGACTAAATCCTACAGGATGCAATGATGGGCACTAAACCTTGATTTTAGCATATGCACTCACACCATCACAATTAATGATCACTTAATTCTTAAGAATTCAAACAATATGAAAATTAAAGTTGTGGTCTGTCAGATGGTACAGACCTCAAATGTCATTTCATTACATATTCCACACAAAGAATGTTCTTGCAACCAATTGTATTTATCATGCTGATAATTTTGTTTAGTTATCTTATTTAGTTAACATTATCATCTAACATTTAAAATTGGAAATTTCAAGTGTGACTTTTATAAACTAGTTGAATGAATGTAATTGAAAATATGAATTAATTCAAATAAAATTGAATTCTTTACACCAAATACACAAGTATCAAAGTGAAAGTCTTGGATGCAATTATGTTGTGATAGAAAAGACCAGAATCCACAAAACACTGACTGCATAGTATACATGTAATGCACAGTATTCTCGTAATTGCACTCTTGTTGATTTTGATTGCTTCCATTGTCCGCATTTGTAAGTTACTTTGGATAAAAGCATCTGCTAAATGTAAATGTAAATGTAGTATCAGTTCTGAGCTCATTTAAAGTCAATATGGGTGTGTGAGTCATCTCAGTAAATTCATTGACAAAGTAAGATTTCTGTCTATTTTGGATATAGACTGAGACACTTGTGATCTAATTAGTCGGTTTTGCCAATCAGTCATTAAAAAAGAAATGCACCAATTGAGTGATTCAGACAATAAGATAATAATGCAATGCAGAACCTGGGGTACAACACTCACAACAGCAAATTCAACATGCAGTAATGACAAAAAAGTTCAGTATACTGGTTTGTTACCTCTCTGGGTTTCCTATGTCTGTCCTTGCCTTCACTATGCCGGTCTCTTTCTTTCCCTTCCTCCCCTGTGTGACTGGAGTAAGAAACAGTCCTCCAGTCTCGAGGGGAGTTGGTGATGCTGGCCACTTTGGACTCAGTGGCGCTGTTCTCTTCGGTTAGTGACCTGGACGACCTGCGTGTGAGCATGCTCTTCTTTAAAGCTTTAACCCTCAGGCTTTCGCTCCCATCAGTCTCCGAGCAGCACCATTCTGGGCTTTTTTCCACCTTCATGTTGTGTCCAGTGGTGTGACACTGGAAAACGTGAGGCGAGAGGTTCACGTCAGTCTTAATCTGTTCCACGTGACCATTATCACTTGATTTCCCATTAGCCTCCGGTTCTTGAATCTTTTCATCCAGTCTAGTAAGCTTCGAGAGGACCTGAGAGATTTCCCCTCGCACCCCTGAAAGAGACTCAAGCTTCTTCTCAATCTCGCCAATCCTGAGTACCAGTTTGCAGACGTTCTCTTTGAGCTCATCATCTGAGTTCTCCAGTGACTGGAAGAGGCAGTCAAGCTTGATGCCCGTTTTGCCCAGCTTGACAGTGTTGTGTTCAGGTGAGCTGTTCCCGTCTGATTTCGTCACCTGAGACAGTGAGCCGTTGCTGTTGTAGCACGATGACTGCACAACTCCAAGAGAGCCACACACACTCATGTCATCCAGAAAGCGAAAGATGTCACTGATATCGTCGCTGACAATCTCAGAGTCTTCATCTGAGTGCTTGAAGGGAGGCCTCTCTCCATATTTGTTGTGACCTGCGTAATCTTTCGCTTTCCTAGTTTCGGATTGTTCCGTCTGGGTCCCAACACTCATGCCATTGTCCACATTGCTCGACTGAAACGATAAACAGTTGACACTCTTGTCCTTGTACCTTTTCCCAACCTCTCTTTTCTCAACAGTGGGTCCACAAGCCACAGAAGTAATCTCTTTTGTTTTGGTTCCATTGAACTTCTTGGGGAAACCTGAGGGAGAGGCAGTGGGCTTGACCTTTGCACACTGAAAGTGCTGGTCATTTTCCATGGCACTGACGTTATGACAGTGATTGTCCTTTGCCACTTTGCCTTTCAAAAACGACCTCTCAAAATCAGGACCTTCTTCGGTATTGAGACTCAAGCTCTTGACAGGCCAGGCTGGCTGTTTTCCATGCTTGCTCGAAATCCTCCTGCTGCTCACACACTCAGAGACCGTTGTAGGTCCAAAGTACGTGGATGCTTGCAAGTCGTCCAGGCTCTCATGCTTCACCCGTGCTTTGTTCTGAATGGGTGAGCTGACGGGTTCAAAGTAAGGGTTGCTGTACGGCAGCTCGAAACTGTGATTGAAGAAAGTGGGAGGCTTGTTCAGCTCCCTCCTGTGATGGTACTCACCACCAGCTTTGGAATTCGCTCTGCACTCTGTAGTGATCACGTGGGGTGAAAAGGCAACAAGGTTGTGGAAATCCTCTTTGAAGATATTCCGCTTTTGCATGCACGAGTGCACTGTGAAAGGCTCTCTGCTAGACACGAAGACATCCTTGATCCCTGGGTTGGCATGGAGAGATTCCTGGTCAGTTGTTGACTCGCTGTCGATGTCCATGGGGAAGTAAGTGCTCTGCATCTCGCACGGAGGAGGACTGACGCTGGGGTACTGAGGCAGATGCTGTAGTTTATCCAGTGATGCTGCCCTACATTTCAGATCCTTGGTGACTCCCAAGAGGAAGTTGGGTTCTGAGGTTGGTATAAACTGCTGGCAGTTATTGCAGTCAGATTTTGGGCAGGGTGACTTCCGAGAGACATGATGACCCCTGGTGTCCAAGAGGTTGTACCCCCTGTCATTATCGTTGAATTTATACACATCCGTATCAGATCGACAGGACTCAAAAGACTGGTTCTTGTGAAACTTGGGTCTTGGACCCATCGGCAGCTTGTCTTTGGCCATACCTCCATTCATCTGGATGAGATTAAACATGGTGACAATGTCCGCCGCCACCATGAGCTTCTTGGACTGTTGGTCCTCCACCGAGCATCTCATCTTGTCTTTGAATAAGGTTGCGGGGAAAGCTGGATCCAAGCATGCCGTGTAGAATAGCAGACTCCTCAGCTTAGCCAAATGGACCAAGTCAAACCTGGCACACAGGGACTTACAAAGGTCTTGGTACGAAACAGTACTGTACTTAGTATCCAGTTCCTCCAAAATCCTCACAAGGAAGAGGGAATACTCTGGCATGGCATCCATTGCTGATTTTAGTCTTGATTTTGTGAGGAAAGGACAGCCTGCAGAGGACAGATGAATGATTAGTGACTGAAGAAATGTGAGCCATCTGCCAAACTACCATAAAAATCATATCAAGATGCAGGACCGTAACCATCATAGACATACTCAGAATATTGGTTGATCAATATGTGGTTTTCATTGACTTTTACAATGGGCTCCAAAAGTCTGAGACTATAGAATTCAAAACTTTTA